CCCTCTCTCTCTCTCTGTCTCTCTCTCTCACCTCCCCCCCCCACTCTCTCCCTCTCTCTGTCTTGCGAGGTATTTTGTTTCCCTTTCTCTCTCTCTTTCTCTCTCTCCATCTCTATCGTGTTCACTTTCCTGACTAGCTACCTGAAAAATTGGCTTACCAGTTTCTCTTTTTATATCATGTCTTGTATTTCTGTTCAGTGCATGTGTGTTGCCCTGGCCAGCACAGTGGCCGCTATGTGTGCCACAAACAGCTCCTCTGGAGACACGGGCTTGCTGCTTCTGAACAAGCTGAAGGAAGCTCATTCTCAAAATCCGCAAGTAAGCTTTTAGAAAGACAAAAGTAGAAGTTATGGTTGGGTGAATAGATAGATAGATAGACAGACAGGCAGACAGACTGACAGACAGACAGACAGACAGACAAACAGACAGACAGACAAACAGACAGACAGACAAACAGACAGGCAGACAGACACACTGATCGACTGCTTTTCAGTGGCGTGAGGTGGAGTCTTACGCAAACAGCCAAGATGGACAGACAGAGAGATAGGGTGGAAGAAAGACAAAAGCAAATAAGCTGTTTGATCAATAGATAGATAATTGATAAATTGATGAACAGATAAATAAAAAAGATAGAGATAGATGCATGAATAGGATGAGTGAATTCGTTGCTTTTAGGATTATCAAAGCTCTCTGTGTACTTGGCTCTATGGACGTTAAATTTCAAGTTCCTGCCTCTTTAATGATCTGACAGTGTTGAGCCATACCATGCCATGCTGTTCTCTGTTCCCCTCACCACGTTAAACTTCCTTATGGCGAGTGCTCCGGTGTGGTCTGCTCTTATTGTCCTTTTCTCTCCTCCTTTTTTTCAGACTCTCTGATCTTCAGCACTTATATGAACTAATTATATTGCAAGTTCTGTAAAACACTTACTAAAACGTTCTCTGCTCACTTCACCATGTTGCACTTCCCCTACTCAGATCTCTGGAATCTGTTTGGCTCTTGGAATTCTGACTTTCACTCTGGACAAGTTAGGCTATGGCCCCAGCTTACAGATGAAAGCTGAACTGTTGACCTCCTGGATGCAGGACGTTGTGAAAGACGTAAGTTGAGGTTACAGGAAACCAAATATCATTGGCTTCATTCCATAAGCTCAAGACTCATTTGTTTAATTCTGAGCTGTAGTGTGTTAGTAAGTGGTGATATATTTTGTTTTTACTGCTGTCTTTTCGTGTATATTATTAATGTATTGTTGTGAAATTTCTTCTTTATGTGGTTGAACTGGTTTTTCTTGTTGCTGTGAAATGTTTTCGCTTGTGTGAATCATGTGATTGTTGTAAAGCGCTCGGAGCTTATTCTAGTATGGGATAGAGCACTATATAAAGGCAAGCTATTATTATAAGCGCCGCAGTCATTTTTATAAGTCCAAAGAAAATTAAGGAAGACCAGAAAGAAGGTGGCAAGATGACATCAAAGAGCAGATAGATACAATCTGGACACAGAAAACAGCTGATAGAAAACATAGTGGAGGCCGTTGTTGGAGGGCTACATCCACCATTGAATGGATAATACTTATAAAGAAAGAAAGAAAAGAAAATAGAATGCCTAAATGAGAGCCATGACTAGGGCACTCATTATTTTTTAATTAAAATCCAGAAGGAAAATAAGGAAACAGACAGACCCAAGCTGATTTGTAAGATGCTCCTCGATGTCTTTATTTGAATAAAAATTTTATCTGGAAACCCCAAGAGGTTGATAACGGCGGTTGTTGAATGTTGTTGACAATATTTTGACCTTAGTTAACACCATTAGCTCAGGTTGCATCAGCCACAGTATGGTGTGGATGACAGTGAGTCGAATCCTGAACACAGCCATATCACAAATGCAGTGTTCTTGAACTTTAATTGTTTTAATGTTTGTTTTTCTCTTCTTCTTCTTCTTCTTCTTCTTCTTCTTCTTCTTCTTCTTCTTCTTCTTCTTCTTCTTCTTCTTCTTCTTCTTCTTCTTCTTCTTCTTCTTCTTCTTCTCCTCCTCCTCCTCCTCCTCCTCCTCCTCCTCCTCCTCCTCCTCCTCCTCCTCCTCCTACTCCTCCTTCTTCTTCTTCTTGCCGTCGTTGTCGTCACATTCCTCCTCCTCCTCCTTCTTTTTTTTCTTCTTGTTGATCGCATCACTCTTGAAGTCCAACATCTTTCAAACACTGTGTCATCCTGCTTGGCTATTCTGTTGGCCCGTAGGCTTCTCCTGTAAGAGCTAATTGGGAGGCTTCCTATGTACGATGGGTATATCGGCTCCTATTGCAGGTGTGTGTTAAATTTAGAGCCTCTTCTCTTAAATGCCTTAGAGTAGAAAGGATCTTTAGACCCATATTATACAATATTTTTGTTTGTTTCCTTTTCTTTTATAGTGCATTTGATTTTCTAGCTTTTCTCATGTAGCATAATTGTTACTTTATGGAAATGGAGTGCATGCAGCATGGTCTTATACTCAAACACCGATGGTGTTTCCAATTCGTCGTGAGCACTGACACGTAGAAACTGAAGCACTTCACGAGAGGAAGGAGATGTGATTACGCTCAAATGCCAATGTGACAATGTTTTCGCAGAGGGCATTCTGAAACTGAGGCTGCTTGTTTAGGTTGTCTTATGTAGGTTGGATATTTGAACTGGAGGTTCGACTTTTGCAGTAACTTTATTTTGTCGAAAGGGAACTTTGAACCCAAAATGTTCCGTACCTGTACTTCATAAATACATAATGAATAAAAGTCCCTGCTTGTAGTTTATGCATGTGTCAATCTTCTGTAACTAAAATGATCTCTTTTTTTTCTCTCTCTCCCTCCCTCTTATTCCAGGAGACACCTCCAATGGAAAAAGTATCCAAGCTGAGTGGACTTCTTTCATTGATTGGATCGGAGCAGTCTTTGGTTCCTGTAAGTTGTACATGCTGTGGTGTGGTCTGCTTCTTCTATTACTTTTTTTTTTTACTCTCTCCTCATCTGGCCATAAGTAAAATAAGGATGGTTATTATGACATTTAGCTGCAATCTGTAACTCGCCTACAACTGAGAGGTGCATTGCAAGTGTTAAATGATGTCATGCTTGATTCTTGTATGAATGACCCTGGTTTGCTTCTCACGTGGGGAGTTCTTGAACCTTTGTTTTTGGGAAGTTCCAAGCTCAACAGGCTTTGAATTGATTCTATGACAGATGAACGTCAAATTCTGATTTGCTGGATCCAAAATAAATATACAGTGTTTAGAGACGTTGAACTCATATCATACCATACTATACCACACCACACCACACCACACCACACCACACCACACCACACCACACCACACCACACCAGTGAGGGGATAGTCTTGGTGTTTATGATACATTTTGGCGAGAGGAGCTCTGTGCTGTATGGGTTGAAGTCACACACAACTTCTCGTCGTTTTGTTTTCCTCATCTGTCATAGATGTCTTCTGGCCTGTACAACAACTACATCTTCACACATCAAATCTTCATTCTTTTCTTAATATTTTGGTGAGCAATACTAGCTTGTACTGGTGGCTTGAAACCTCTCCTTTTTTAATCTTAATGATGAAAATGCAATGTATGCTTATTTTCATGGGAACTTACTGCAACCAAACAGGGAATCGACCAGCAACTTGTCAGAGTTAATTTTGCTGCTTGGGATGCTTCTATATATATTTAACCAACTGCTGCACATGACTTTTACATAATTTTCTACCTTTCCAGTTTTCTGTCAATGCAACATGCATTTTCTGTACATTTTCCTAGGAACAGTAGTTGGCGCAATGTAAGTCATATAACAGTTAATGAGTGTTGAACGTGAAAGGCTCCATACCACGTTCATGTTGCTAAACGGATTGCTCGTGGGTGGTTGATAGCTGCTCTAGTATGGTTTGCTCCTTCTTTTCTATCAAACATCTGTCGTTCTTATCTCCTCCTTCTTTTGTTTGTATGTTACTATATAGTAATACCTCTAGCCTTCAACTCTTGTATGGCCTAATTGTGTTGCAAGTGCCATAAAACTCTTATGGAAAAAAATCCAATTTTTTCCTGTGAGATCCAGATGTTCAATGCCTTAATGTCGATTTAAGTGTCTTACAAACTGTATTTGTCTCTTTCTAACTGTTCTTATTAGTGACCACTTCATTGGATTTTTTTCAGCACTTCCTCGTTTTATTTCCTTTTATTCAATGAAATTGTCAATAGCCTGTTAACCATATCCGTTACGTCGTGTTTTACTATCGTATCCATACGACGTGGGGAACTCTGTGCCACCACTTTCTAAAGAGGAAATTTACTCGTTAAGCTGTTCCGTACGCTTTGCATAGCAGTCTGTCAAATGATTTTTTGAGAAATACTAAAAGTTTCAAAGAGATCTTCGCACTAGAAGTATTCTAAAATGTGAAGAGCACAACCCCTGGAGTACAAAAGGACCCCAGGCATATGGATAGGGTTAAGAAACCATGATTCACTATCTTAAGTAATTGTCCAGCTTTCATTATAAAGGTATAGGTGGTTGGTTGGCAGGTGCTTTGGCATGGTTTGCTCCTTCTTTCCTATCATACATCTATCATCCTTATCTCTCATACTTCTTTTTGTGTTTGTTACTTTCTCGTAACGCCTCTAATCTTCGGCACTTATATTATATGACTTAATCGTGTTGCTAGTGCCTTAAAACTCTTACTTTTTAAATAAAATAAATAACACCTTTTTGATTAATGAACTTTCTGACTGACTGCGCCAGATTCCCAACTCCTCCTCACTGACAACCCCAGGGGTTGCTGAAGTGTCTATGAAGCAGCCCCCCCCCCCTAAATGATCTACATTGTGTCGATGGGGGTGTAAAACCACCTTCATTTAAAAAAAAATCTAATGACTTTTCTGATTGTGCCAGATCCCCAGCTCCTCCTCGCTGACCACCCCAGGAGTTGCAGACGCATCTGTGAAGCAAGCCGTGGAGCTAGTGTGTACGTTTGTGGCTAGCAGCAGTAACCTGGGTGTGCAGGCAGTCAGTGCCTGGATGTTGGGACACCTGCACCACTCCGCCTGCTCTGTGGCCGAGACCAAGTCAAGTGGTCAGTTTTATTACTTTTTTTTTTTTTTCTTCTTTGTTGCACCTTTTTGAGAAATCAGAGGAGGTGGAGTTAAGTCCGATGTTGTGTCTTCAGGAAAGGCACTTTACACGAATTCCCATTTGGCTCGGTCCTTTCGGGGATGGACGTTAAACTCGGAGGTTCCGCCTCTTAAAAAACATAATAGTGTTGATAAAGTTGTTAAATCCATAACCATTTTACCATTCTCACAGCGGGTGGTCAGGGGGCGCCACTCGTAGGTCCTACTTCCCAACATATTATTATTGTGTATGTCAGGACTCCAGTAAAAAAGCCAAATAAAGTCACGTTTTCAAAAAAAATTGAGAAAATGGAAACTAAAAATTTGAAAGTCCGTACTGGTAATTTATTTTACCTTACACAGCACAGAACTATAGCTGGGTTATCCATGGGATCATTTGGGAAGAATGAAGGTCAATTTTCAAAAATACAACCTGGAGAAAAAGTTAATTAAAACATTGTGACTAATCTGGTTATCCTCTGGAGTTTTCATGTATTAATCGAGAGAAAAACCATGATTTTTTTCAGTTCCATCAAGCTACAGTTACCTGCCAGAATCCAGCATTGTGAGAAGTCTGTTTGATTTTCTGTTGGAGGCAGGGAGAGAAGGTAAGTGATTTCAAATGTTTTTCTTGATCTTTTCAGGATAGTAGGCCTACTATCTTGTTATTTTTTAACTTCAAGTCAGTTACTGGTGGACTCTGGTTTGGTCAGCTCCTTCTAAAGGCACTTACTTGATCTGTTTGTGTTGCAAATGCCTCGAAACTCTTACAAAAACTTTTTAAAAGCCCCTATATTAATCTTTTTATTTAAAAGTATGTATTGTTTCTTATTGTGCCTGCTGTTCTCAGTGAAATATGTCTGTTTTCATAGGGATTTGCTGTAAAATAAAACTCAACAGCGACAGCATGTAACTTCGAAATGTTCTATCTGCTATTAAATTATGTAAAGAACTTTTAATTCGTAATTTTATTGTCTGTATATTGTGTGCTCCTTTTTGTAATAGAGTACACTGACCAGCTTGTACCGATACTACTAATTTACCCTTGATGGCCTAATGGTTAGGCTCTCGGACTTGCAACTGTAAGGTCGAGGGTTTGAATCAAGAGCCCGATACTGTGTCCTTGAGAAAGGCAATTTACGCTAATTTTTCTCACTTTAGCCAGGTGGAAATGGGTACCCACTTGTAGAAAGTGAAAGATCTTGTCAATTTATTATTGTTTGAGCCCGTGAAATCAGTAGCTTGCACTGTATGCTTCCCGGGAAGCTTAGAATGTTTCTGTGTGTTCTAGGATCTGCTGGGGTAATAATAGTTGTAAAGCCCAAAGCATGCTGTAGCGCATGGAAGTGCGTTATATGAATACAATTATTATTATTATTATTATTATTATTATTTTTATTATTTTATTATTATTATTTTATTATTATTATTATTATTATTATTATTATTATTATTAAATATTATTATTATTGTTATTATAAGGTTAAGGAGGAGGAGGAGGAGGAGGAGGATGATGATGATAATGATGATGATTACTATTATAGATTCATCCCTGGCGGCTAATGAAGGTAGAGTCTCCGCACATTATTCCACTATTTTTACAAAATTTCTAACATTTCTCAAAGGCGTATCATGTACATTTATCACCCCTTTACACCTATGAGATGAAGACGAGATTCTTTTGTAATTCATCAGCTAGCTTTTGTAATTGTCCAATGCATTTTGGAAGGGAGTTTCGTTTTCTTAAAGAAGAGAGGCACAAGTACATATAGTAGGCCTACATGTACTGAAGAGTCATCAACGATTTGCGCATTTTTTGGCTGGTCAGGTACGATAGTAACCAATGTACTTCCTTGTTCTCTGCAGGCCCGGAGAAAATGCCAGAGAGCCAGGTAGCTCTGGCCTTGCACTGTTTGAGAATTTCCAGGCCACTGCCTCCTGTCAACTGGTCTGCCTTAGTGGCAGCATTTATGAGATTCTCTTACGGTAATTATTTTATTGATTTGTCTCTTTTTGTTTTTTTCTCTGTCCATCCCTTTGTCGCTCGCTCGCGCTCTCTCTCTCTCTCTTTCTCTGTCTCTCTCTCTCTCTCTCTTTCTCTGTCTCTGTCTCTCTCTCTCTCTCTCTCTCTCTCTCTCTCTCTCTCTCTCTCTCTCTCTCGATCTCTCTTTCTCTCTCTGCCTAAGAGCAATTTAGATTCCATGTGTTTGGATATTGGACGACTTTGTGTGAGAGGCTGTTTTGACTGGTGTGGTATCCTATGATCACCTTATTTTGTTGGTCTTGTATGCTTGTGTGTGTGCGTGTATGCTTGTGTGTGTGTGTGTGTGTGTGTGTGTGTGTGTGTGTGTGTGTGTGTGTGTGTGTGTGTGTTGTGGCTCTGTGCCCACTAGTAGTAGGCCTATTATTATAGTAGGTGTATTACGCTTCTGATCCTGGCTTCTCCACTCCGCTCCAGAAGTAAAACACAGGTTGTGCAGTTGGATGTCTCCCAATTGTGTGTGTGTGTGTGTATGCTTGTGTGTGCTTGTGTGTGTGTGTGTTTATATATATGTGTGTGTGTGTGTATGTGTGTGTATATGTGTGTGTGTGTGTGTGTGTGTGTGTGTGTGTTATGGCTGTGTGCAAACCTGTAGTATCATAATCGTGTAGATGTATTACATTTCTGACCCTGCTTTCACCACACAGCCCCAGAAGTGAAGACCAATGCTGTGCTGTTGGCTGTCTCCCAAGTGTCCACGTCCCCCAGCGCTGCTGTCTTCCTGTCCTCCTGGTTGACCCCGCCCCTGTTCACGTCACTTCCGGTAAGTTTACTGATGATAACCAAAGAGGTTCTAGTGGGTGGTTGGCGTTTACTCTGGTGTCATTTGCTTCTTCTTTCCTATCTAACATCTATCAGGGGGCTTCCTTGGCCAAGAGGTTAAGGTGTTAGCCTCTCATTCAAAGGTCCAGGGTTCAAATCTGGGTAGTGACGGAAAAATTTTCTTCTCTAAAATTGTCTCCTTTCACCTTCCTTCTTGTTCTCTAGCAATGTTCTGTCGTCTGCTTTCATCTCCACTTTCTTCCCCACCCCTTCACCTCCTTTTCCCCCTCTTCTGGGCTCCAGACTCTTTCTGCAGCCTTTCTACTGGGCTACTCCTTGGCTCCTTCTTAATGCTGATCTTCTGGTAGGAAAGATCTACACCTAGCCTCTCGGACAAGGGCGAAAAATCTCGGAGGTGCCGTGTGCAAGTTGCACATTAAAGATCCCTTGGTGGTCTAAAATCGATAAGAGTAGGCTTTGGCTGCCACCGGGGCAAAATTCAAAATTTCCTACCAACTGAAAATGTGTGTCCCGCACGCTCATATGACCATATGCAGATGCGAGCGCCGTAAAACATCTATCGTTCTCTTAGACTCCCCTCCTTCTTTTTTGTTTTGGTTACTCTCTTGTAACATCTGTAATCTTTGGCACTTGTATGACCTTATTGTGTTGCTAGTGCCGTAAAACACTTACTGATACAATTTTTAAAATGTTCTGTTAGTTTAACTCCTGGAGGTCGGCATGGCTACTGACAAGATGCTGCATTATTGTGCTTTTGGGGGGGGGGTTCTTTTTTCTTTAAAAATAATAATACATTCACTCTGATCGGGTTCTTATTTTCCTCTTTCATCATAAGTTATCATTTGCTTTTGCTTTCCTGTAAAACACCTTGACTACGTTCTCATATGTTTAAGTAGCGTCAGTACCCAAGTGGTTAGTCTACTGGACCTGTAATCATGAGATTCCGGGTTCGGGAGTTCAAGGTTCAGCTTGGTCCAACGTTGTCACCTTTGGGAAAGATACTTTTCATGAATTTCCTATTTTTGCTCGGTCCGTTTGGAGATGGACATTAAACTCAGGAGTCCCACCTCTGAAATAACCTAACAGTGTTGTTGGGGATGTTAAACCTATACCTCCCCCCCGGGGCAGGGCCACTGACTGAAGTGTCTTTAGGCCATTCCCAAAGGGGGAACATTTCTCGTTCAAGCATAGTAGAATTGTAAATGGGCTGACTCATGTCACGCTCATAACTGTGCCTGATCTACAACAGGGAACTACTGCTTTTTCTTTCCTGATCCTTACTATTGTCATTTTCCTCTACTTCTTTTGTATGTTTGTCACTCTCTTGTGACCTGCTATTTTGGGGTGCCTTGATAGTCGAAGCAGACCTTGTGCTGTTGAAGCTGGAGAGGTGAGCAATCTAAGTCTGATTCCCTGTAAAGACTTCTCTGTTGACACCCACACCTTGGCGCTCATATGACCTTATGCAATTGCGAGCGCCGTAAAACCCTCTACTATAAAAAAAATATATATACCATTTCGTGGTTTTCATATATGTAAATCTTTCTTCTATTCTTAACATTTTGGTGGATAATACATCCTTGTAGTTTTGAAACTTTTCTTTAAGCTGATAATTAAATGGCTTAGTTCTCATTTTCCCACATTGGACCTGAAGGGCACAATCGAAGTGGCCTGTGTCTATTGGGTGAAGTGACTAAATTCTGCTATCTTTTTCTAAGGTGGAGACACAGGCTGCCCTGCATTCCCGTATGGCTGATGTCATCAAGTGCGTTTCTGCTAGCACACTAAAGCTGTACCTAGAGAGGAGTTGTCTCCCCGCCTTCACGGAGACAGAAGACGCACACCTCCAGCTGAGTGTGCTGAGAGGTCTGTGCTCCGCCCTCAGCGTGGAGGATCCGCCAGAGAGTGTCACCATGATGTTGTATGAGACTACAGGCCACTTGTACGCGCTGGTTCCCAACAAGATCAATGTGAGTTGATGTTTTAATTGACATCTTTGTTGTATGCTTCCCGGGAAGTTGACCTAATACTGTTGATAGCGGCGTTAAAGTCATACCATTTCAGGAAGTTGAGATTGTTTCAGAATGCTAAGAGATCTGCTTTGGTAATAATATAGAGATTTAATGCACACAGAGCTTGCTGCTGAGCAGGAATTTGCGCCATACAAATGCCTTCTATTATATTTTTAAACTACAGTGTAGGGGCCTACCTGCTACTTCTCTGTGTATGCCTTGAAGGTCATTTTTAAAGGTATCGTTTGTCTTTTACTTTTTTTTGTTAACGCTACATTGTTGCTTTCATGGACCTTTTCCGGTTTTCCGTGGGACAACCCTCGTAGAAGTTGTAGTACCGGGACATGTAATAGGTGTTGTTGTAGTAAAAGTAGTAATTATTGCAGTTAAAACCCATACAACACCCACTGTCATCCTCAGATTCCTCTTCTACAAGCTCTGTCAGAATGCTTGGCGCAGGTGCCAGATGACATCCTGGACTCGATCACCACGGCAGACTTCTCGGACGCCACTTCACAGGTCAAGGGCTCCTTTGTGCGCTGCTACTTGGTGGCCACAGGGCGACAACCCATAGCACTGCTCAACTTCATGGTGGATGCTTACTTTAATGCTGACTACTGGTGGGTGTCTCCAGCAGGAAGAGGAGGGAGGGGGTTGGTGTAACGGGAAGGAGGGGATGGATTTATGCATTGTATTAATGCAATTACTACTACTATTATTATTATTATTATTATTATTGTAATTATTTTTATTGTAATCATTATAATTATCATTATTATTATTATTACTTATGTGGAGTATGAAAGAATAGAAGAGAGAGACGCCTGCAAGCTGTGCACATTCACAAGTGAAAGTGAAGCTGTTGAATGTTCAAAATGTGGCAAACATTTCTTTACCAGACTTGATCTCATAGGCCACTGCAGAAGCCACAAGTCATCTTAACCTTTTGGTAACTCTGAGCAGTGTCCGTGCAGAATCGACAACCAAACAGGGAACTATCTGCTACAAGCCTCTCCAATGCTCAAGGTACTTAAAAGGAAATTTATTGGCCCGACCCTAGGCAGAGAGACCCAAAGCTCTACAGGGGCCTGGAGGGCATGCGGAGAAGAGCAGCCTTTGCACTGGAGATGGGGATGTCCATAAAGAGATAAACGAGAAGAAGAAGATCTTAACCTTTATTTCTTCTAATTCAATTGAAAAATGTTCTTTGCGGATGCATTAAAGATATCTGACGTTTATGGACGAACTCTTTTAATATTAATTATTATTATCATTTTATTGTTGTCAGGGACCTCAAGGTTGGAATGTGGCTGCTGGTTCACTGCCTGTGGTCATTTGTCAAGAACAAAAGTGAGTTCTCTAGTACAGTGGCCAGGCAGCAGTGGCTGATGGAACTCCTAGGACATACAAGCAGTGTAGTCACTGGGGCCATGCCGCTCGCCGAATCGGCTCCACCCATGACTCAGGTAAAAGATCAGTCTAATTAGTTAGCACTGTGTTGAAACCCCAAAGAAAGGGTTAGATTTGAATTCACATGGTGAGAGATCAAGGGGAAACAACATGGGACCCGGAGAAGAGTCACAGAGAATGATGAACAGAAAAATGGGAAGACAGGGAATTGTATCAAGAGGCTAGCCCAGAATAGGGAAAAGTAGAAAGTGTTTTTTCATGGCCTATACCCTGATGCATAATGAGAGAGGCAGTGAAGATGATGATATATTACTCCCCCACTTGATTATTGATTGAGAACTTTGTACATCCCATCAACACAATTCAGGTCATCACTGTTATCTATTCCACTGGGTTACTTATTACAATTATTACAAACTCTATACACCCCAAGCAACATGATTTGAATTTTAATTACTCAGTAGGAAGCCTTTTGAACATGTCTTAATTAAGCATAGGGTTTAGTTCAGGATACAAGGAGAAAAAAATGTTGACGTATATTTTTATGAGGTGTCAAAAGACTGTAACAACAATCTGATAACAAAACCCTTTTTTTTAGAAAGTATATTATATATTCTGCCCAGAAAATACAACTTGTTTTGAAAAGTCAAATAAAAAACAAAAATTGGTATATTGTGATGTTTCGTAGCAAAAATGTATTTTAAAGACATAAATGTGAAATTGTTTTTATTGTTGGAATAATGATAGGCCATTGTCTTTCAGGTCATTAGCATCATCATTGGGATCATGAGCTGTGCTATTGCTGCTGTCACCAACACTAGCAACAAAGATCTGGGCTTTCTGGGACTTAATCCTAACATTTTCCGAAAAACGGAAAATACACAACAGGGGAATGTTTCGTCAACTGCGCCCAGCACAGGATCACTGTCGTCTGAGGATACTGATCTTCATGGGATGAGTGGAGAGTTCCTCCAGGCGGTGATAGACATGTCCAGCGATATGACTCGTTTTCTGCCCTCTGCTATGGAAGTCTTTACCTCGAAACCCTGGAATGTTCTGACAACAAAGGTTATTTTCTCTGATTTTCTTTTTGTATCAATCATATTATCTTACATGATGTTTTTACCATTGTAAATATATTTAGTAAAAATAGAATGTTAGTAAGTACGTTTATTCAGTGTTTAAGGCCATTAGCCCACATCACATCATATAAAACACTCATTTATCAAATAGTTTCCATTTATGAAAAAGTACTAGCTGTGCACATGTCTCTTGTCACAAATTTGGCTGATTGCACATTTAAATTCTCTTGGATGGCCAGTTCATTCCAATGGACAATGTTGGTGCCACAGTGTACATTCAGCTTTGCAACCTGTCAGGCACGCTCCATTTTATTTATTACGGATTAGCAAGTGCACGTTAACAACTGGGTCATCTGAAGAAAATAAAGTACAGTCAAACATGTCCAAAACAACAGCCTATTGTCGAGGAGGAAAGAGATCATCTTTGACAATAGAAGAAATGTGCAAGTGGGAAGTAATAGTTTGGAAAGGGGGTTTCTTAGACAGGTGGTCATTAGACCAGGATCAACTGTTTCTTCCTGAGCTTAGGACATCCAATCCAAATAAGATGGAAATCAAACCACCAACCTTTTAGTTTTCCGGTCCAACACCATTTCTCAAGATTCGAACTTTTCGGCATATTTGGTATTTTAAAATCTTGGTAAAGGACTTTGAATGTCCAAAACAAAAATAACTGTTCCTGGCAAAATAATGTTTTGTTTTTTCCACCCTAGGCTCTTGGATGGATTACTTCTTTCTTACAACTGGAGCATGTGTCAGAGGGGGACAAGAAGACCCTGTCATGTAAGTTTGCATTAAAATATTTTATAAACAGGTGGGCACAGGTATCGCAAACACAGAAAACTCTAAATCACGGATAGGTCGTAAAATTTTCCATTCTCCGGACTGATATCGCTTTGATTTTATCTTATCGGTTAACCCCAATGATGGGTGTGTTTAACACATTTATTGTCAATCATCAGTCCTCGACATGTTTGGTTGATGATCTGAGCCCGGCTGTACATTTTGTGAAACACAAGATCTAGCTCTTGACATTGACAGTTTTTAAGTTATGTTTTGAAGTCTTGTGGTTGAGTAGTCAGTAAATGAATTCTCACAAATTATGCGGAGCAATATTGGTTTGACACCTTCAGAAAAGATTATCCCACAGGGCCTGTACTGCTGCAATGAAATAAGTGTATTGGGGTAACTGTAGTTTAACTTGTATTGCATTTATTTTCTGTACTATGAATAATGATTAAGACAGCGCTAGCTCTTTGTTCTATTTTATTTTTTGTTTTAATAGGAGTTTTACTGCTCTTGCAAGAGCTCATATAAGTGCCAAAGAAATATTAGGGGTGTTACAAGAAAGTAGCAAACACATAGAAGGAGGAAGAAAGATTAGAATGATGATAGATGTTTTAGTTCGATAGGAAAGAAGGAACAAACCAAACCAGAGCACCTGTCAACCACCCATGCTCATTGTTAGGTCAGTTGAAGTCGAGTTGAGTTGCAGTGCAGGTGACTGTAATTCTTACTCCAAACGTGGCATTTTTAAAACTTATCTATATGTGGTATGAGGAGCTTTCAGGGCTCTCTTATTTGTACCCATCAGAATGAGTTGGGGCCAGCCAGATTTTTCCTTCACAGACATAGGGCTAAAGCTACCATTTTGACACAATACAACTGAATTCTACTTAATTTGACTGCGACCTTCAAAATCAAGCGTATTTATTATTCAAAGTCACGAATCAAACTGGTAAAAGATGAACTTCAAATGTGCAGGTCACACTTCTGAAATAACTTTTGTGGGTTGAAATGGGTATAAACGCTATTGATGCAAGTGCACACCTGAGGGCTCCCACTTTTACCCTTCTGCATTGCCTACTATATGCATGCCCAGGCATGCAAGGGTACAAACCCCAACAGTCTCAGGCGCCAGTTGATCCAAAGGAGCACCTATGCTGTAATAATTGATGCACACTGCAAGCCAGATTTTTCCTTCATGAATTGAGCAAAATCTTCCTTTGCAGAACTCTGTGATTGCAGAACTGGGACTTTAACATGCCAGTTCAGATCACACACTTCAGTAACACTTCGTGGATAGTACTGTACGCACTTATTGTGTTAATTTGTAATGCTTATGAAGCTTCAAACCAGAACTGCTGTTGTGTGGTTGGAGGGTGCTGCTGGTAGGTCCTGCTATTCCTCTGTTGTTGTCTGTCTGTCTGTATGTCTGTCTGTCTGTATGCCTTGCTTTATTCCTGCACTAAACTACCCATATTGTGTCAATGTGGTTTTCTTTATACGTACACAAACTGTTTTTGGTGGGTGGCTGTTGGGTGCTGTGATATGATTTGCTCCTTCTTTCCTATGACAAGCTTCTGTCATCTTTATTGCTCCACCTTTTTTGTGTTTTTTTCTCTCTTGTGACTCCTCTAATCTTCATCACGTGTTTAACCTAATTGTTTTGCAAGTGCCGTAAAAACTTTACTAAAACATAGTACTATTGTTGTTTCAGATGCACTGATGGTACTGAGACATAGCCCAGAATTCAAGCCAGCGACTGTTTGGACCAAAGCTATGATGACACTTGACACCCTCTGAGCTCTCATGATTTTCTTTGTTTATTCAATGTTCTGTATGGAAGGAGAATCTCTTTTTTTGTCCCGTGTCCTGATTTGGTGCCGATATTTGTAGGTTATTTTAAAAATATGTCCACATGGTAGTAATTGTCATGCTTCAAGAAAAACAAAACAGGTAAAAGGAAAATTGTTAGGGCCGTGATAATGATGATGATAGTGATGATGATGGTGAATGGAAGGAGTACATGTACCTGATGTCCTTTCTCTGAAGGGGAGGGAAGTGCTATTTTCTAGCATCTCAGTATGTTGTCCGTTTTCAATATATTTATTGTCCTACGTTTTCTGAAAGTGTTTTGCAGAAGTTCTCCGATCTGTTTATTGTTCCTGTGTTTGTGTGTATTCTATGTAGGCCTACACTCTTTTTTTGTGCAATTATGTTTTGTATGTTTCCTCTGCACAGAAATTCAAAATTTTAACATGTCCATACCATGACAAATATCCCTATCACACATGTAAAATAGTAAGACACACCCCTACATCCTGCTTGATTCAAAATATTAATTTGTTCCTCCTTTGGAGCATACTAAAGAAGTCGTAATCTGAAGAGAGAGGAGTAGTACTTGGGCAATCTATTTCCTTTATGTCCACTGCCCAGGCAAAGCTTTATTATTATTATTAATCTGATGTGCATAATAATATGTGGAGAAATGATTAGTTCAGTTGTTCAGACAACTTAAAGTTAAAGAGAGCCGTGATAGTCTAGAAATGTCAATGTTTGTGATGTATGTATCTGTACCTTAGATTTAAGGCTAGATGTCCACAGCCTCAGCTCCTCACTACTCCGCTCCTCATCATAATGTCTGGACAGAAACGTGCAGGTTGTCTTTATCCACACCATGCGTATATATTTTGGCGCGTGATGCAAAATGGCGCTGACATGAAAACGCAAAATCTTTCTTTTGGTGGTGGTACAAAAGGAAATATCTCTCCAATTATGTCGTCACCTCACCAAATTAGGAGAATCCAGTCTCCCAGCCCAAATATTCTCTGCTGAAGAAAAATGCATAGACTATCTACCTAGGTGAGCTTATCAATCGCTATCTACTGATGAAGAAAGATGCATTTGATTTTCTTCTGACTATGTGCACCCCTGGCTTAACTGAACAGCTTTTTTTTTCCTTGATCATTAATCCCATCAGCAGCAGCAGCAGCAATCAGTCACCCTCTTTATAGTTAAAAACCCAATTTACTATTGATGAATATAACGATAGGGTAAAAAAAACAGCATATACTGATTTCAGAGTAGAATGGTGAGCCACACCATAACAATATAACACACCCGGCGCTCATGTGACCTTATGCAGTTGCGAGCGCAGTAAAACCTCTACTAAAACACAAACAATAACTCACCCGGCTTTCCTCACAACCCGTAAAGTGTTCGACATGTTTGACGCACAAAAGTGAGGAGCAGTGAGATGCAAAACGGAGCGGAGCTTGTGGACATGTGCTTTTAGAAACCTCTGCTGTTCAAGTGAGGGAGGACAAAGCTAGTTGTTTTGGACAGGATATTCAGATAAATGTTAGACCTGTTGGACCATGCTTTTTTTCTCTTAGTAGTATTGTTTATTATTAGTTCACCTTTTTACGGGATAGAGGACAGTGTTGTCTTTACTATGGTCGTGGCTTACCTATACAACATGACCACACAGGTTTTCTCTTTCTAGGTGTCTTTTGATCTTTTCCATCAAACAAAAGTATGAAGAAAATATTGAAAGAGAACATTCATCCAAAAGCTTCCTGATAAAGTGAAATGTTCAAAGACATGGTTAAAATAATGTTTTTATTTTATTGAAAAAAATCTATTTAGAAAAATACTGTCACATGTTGCAATACTTAAAGCATTGTTTACTATACAACACATAGCAAAATAGTCCAATTTAGACCAAGGGTTCTGAAAATACATGCAAGTGCAAGCATCATCATACTGAAAAGTCTCTTTCAGAAATGTTTACTGTTGAAATGTGTGTGTGAAAAATGATTGCTGAATAAAAGTATGAATTATTTTACAGAGTGTACATAATATCATATCATGTTCAACATTTTCGATGTCAAGGAAGCACCAAACCATTGACTGACAATCTCCGTACCAATAACAACAAAATGATGGCTTTATAAATATATGAAGCCTAAGGTAGCATATTAATTTCTAATGCTGGTCATTTTAAAGACAAGTTTAAACTTTTTCTAGGCAGTGAGTTTATTCACCTATTACTTCTGTCCTCTACGGTGTTACTGAGATGTAAAGTGCCTTGAGCTGTGTACACATGGGAGTAGGTACTATAGAAATGACGGACATTATTATTATTATGACATCATCAACGAAAAAGGGACTTCATCTTCTATCAAATGAAGCTTTGCAGATAGAAGTAGACACTTATGGACCTGTCCGGTGTGCAATGATGTTGTTGCCAAGGACAGGTAATACAGATAGAAGTACAGTTGAATCCGTTCTAACGGCCACCTGTATACGACAACTTCCTATTTCCCCCCTTGTGTATTTTTTACATTACAAAGACACTCTGTAAGACGGCCATTTGTCTGAGATGGCCACTTTTCTCTTCAATAATGGGTGGCTGTCTCAGACAGTTTCAACTCTAGTTTCTGCTTGCGTGTTCCTACCAACTGAAATAGTATAAAGACTGTTAGAGATGTTCATTACCCTAAAGTTGGCACTACACGTACAGTAAAAATGAACACCTTCAGTCGATGTGCAGCCGATAGTAAAACTAGTTTGCTATTTAAACTGAACAATCAGACTGAATGCAATCAGGGTCACACACAAAAATACTGTTTACGCTGTAAAAATCCCATTAACATGTTCAATTTGTATCATAATCTGTTGTGATTGATAGACAAAGTGGAGTTGTTGTTTTTTTAAGCAAGTCCGTTCATTATAAAAACCGTATTGTTGGTTGATACAATACTTTGGTTGTATAAATATCTACCATGTGATTCATAATACGAGTTTGAGCAGACGCAGGGAAAAAGAAAGAGAGAGAGAGAGGGAGGGGAGTGGCAGAAGAGAGAGGGGGGGGAGAACCCAAGTTTATAAATAATTTTTAAAAACATGTATATATACATATATGTTCCCATATCCTGGGAATCTGATATGTTTATATGAACTGACTAAATGATTCTTTGCACCATGGCGCCATAATGTAAGTTGCATTATGATCAAACAAAGCTAAATGCACAGACATACATGGGCAGCTCTGGCCAAGCACACTTTGCTACCATGTACAGCATACACATACATGCATCTCTGTGCCATGCATGGTAAAAACAAGATAACAATGGCTATCATTTTGTAAACATGAACAAAATACTTTCATTTAATATGATGCGCTCATGAAAAAGTTTTAAAAAAAAATAAAATACATTAATCAAAAGTTCAGTCACGATTCGTATTATCAATATATTGTGCCATCACATACTTGCCTTCACATACTTTATACACTATACCTCCGCGAGAGAGTGAGCTTGATGTTTGCCCTATTCTTTCTCACTTTAGACAAACCTATGCACAAGTCAGACATCTGCTTAAATGTCTTTTCTCCTCCTGAATTGGTCTCATGGCCGTAGTAAAAGCCACAAGTCATATTAACCTTTAATTGTTCTATTACGCTTCAGAAATATTCTCCTATGTGGATGCATTGGACATCATCCGACACTGACAGACTTATTACTATTGATAGTTTGATTCAGACTTTGAGATTGTTTTACAAAAGGACGCAATTTTTATAAGTTCGTAAGAGGGCATTTTTACCTCCGATGACCGTCTGACAGTCAGCGCTAAAGAGCCTGTTTGGAAGCACCCAGTTTTAATTGAAAATAAGTATGAATTCATCCTAAGAAAGACATACTTCAAGCTACCCACAAAAATGAACAGAAAAGAATGAAGATTTCATATGAGAATAAAGTTGTAGTACAGGCCAACAGATATCTCTACATGTATATATAAATGAAGTAAATAATGGAAAACTAAACATTTTTCTGATATTGAATTTTGACAGAAAGCACCAGTTAAATACATGTATGGCCCTACAGTTTCGAAAAAAATGTATTATGGTAGGCCTACGTGAAAAGATAAATTAATTAAGGTCACTTAAGTTTCAGAATCCCAGCGTCCAGCTTAAAAGTGAACCAAAATTTATCCTAAGGAAAGGTTTTTATGTTTTAAATGGACGGCCAGTAACACATAAACACCAACGGAGGAAAACACTACCGTATAAATGGCTCTTCAAAACCAACATATCCACCCACCGTTGTTTATTTCCCTCGGTTTTGAAGAGCAATTTATTGTGAGGTCTTCTATTTTCATCTCATGGGCTCCAACAAAGATTGGCTCCACTGTGGTAGCATCAAAGATTCTCTAGTAGAGAATCTGTAGTAGCATTAGCATGACAACACACAAACCATATAACTGAAATATTTAATTTGTAGTACAGGATACAATGGTGTGTCTAGTGGTTTCCGACTATTTGATTGCATTCATTTCACATGGGCATAGCCTCACACTCTATATAGTAGGACAAGTTACAAGTAATTACAACTGTAGATAATGAATTCTCCACAACCAGCATAAGCATCCTGGAAAACGTATGGATATCTTCCTGGGAGACAAACAACATTGCAGCCTGTTATATGCTCCTCGCCTCATCGTTCAGATTGTACTCAGTCTGTATCCGTTGTCATCCTTTTGCTTCTGGATTTAGTAAGGGAATTCCGGGAGTCTTCTCCAGAAATGAGCGTTAAGTAGGCCTATTGAAAACATGAACTGGTACATGTACTACATTGGAATGTGATTCGGCACAGTATGGTAAAGTCATCTTCGTGTTCCTTTTGCTGAACAAAAATTGGACTGGAAGTTCGTAGACTTGATACATACATGTTGAAGTACGTAGTGTATTATTCTTCTTGTGATTTATTCTGTACCTTCTGCAGCCTATAGTACGCCCCTTTGATAGTCATTAGTTGCGCGTGCGTCCCTTGCTCAATCACTTTTCCTTTGCTCACAACAGCTATTTTGTCTGCGTTCTGAATGGTGGAGAGCCTGTGAGCTATGACGATGCAGGTGCGATGTTGGCTCGCTCTGTCGAGTGCTTCTTGAACCACCTGAGAAAAGTAGAATTTAGATCCTGAGATATGGTCAGACGAAATTAGCAGTAAGGTTTACATTGTATGGCTTGAAACACAGAAAAATAGAGTTGAAGTAAATTCATTCTGATCTTACTTGCAATTCAGAAAGAAAACGACCTGGGGGAAAAAATACATTTATGATTAAAGGAAGAAGTGTTGTGCTTGAAATACATGTAGATCTATACATGTATAGAAAATAAAGGAAATGAACTTGCATTCATGTTTATGTTGCATTCAGCAAGGTACGTAGAGATATTATGATGTCCCCACGCGGAGATCAAAAGCACGACTTCTACATGTGACGTTAAAGAGCTTACCCATAAAACCGCAGATGCCGGTGATATTGATTTAATGTTCTTTCTTTTCTATTTCTGTTTTATTAAGAGGTAGCCACATGAATTTTATTAAGCGACGTTCAAGAATGGACAGATAGGGGCTTAGACCAGGGTTGCCCTGCCATATTATTATTCCTGCACACATTTCCCTGTGTTGTTTTTGTCCGCCAGTCTCACTTTTTCTTTGCACCAAGAAGAGTACTGTTATTATGTAGATGGGGGTGCTTCTCAATTCTCAAACAAAACAAAACATAGTTCTTAGGTTTAGTAAGGGTTTTTCGGCACTTGCAACACAATCAGGTCTTAAGTCCCGTAGCTTAGCAGTGTTACAAGAGAGTAACAAGTAAAACAAAAAGGAGGAGAGATAAGGACAATAGATGTGAAATACAATGTAGGAAAGAAAGGGCAAACCTCACCAGAGCACCCGCCAACCACCCACCAAAACAAAACAAAAATCCTTCTAGAGTGTATTGTTTCCCCATGTGGGAATCAAACTCATGTTGTTTGTTTGCATCAATGAGAGCCTTTGTATTAGACATCAAATGAAATGAATCTTTTTGGAGGTAAAGAACTCTGTTTTAAAAAGCAGTGTACGGTCAGATCAAGCGTTAAATATTTCTAAAACAACAGTTTAAAAACTCGTGGGTGGTTGGCTGTCACTCTGGTGCGGTTTGATCCTTCTTTCCTTTCAAACATCTATCGTCTTTATCTGATTCTGTCCTTTTTTTGTGTGTTTATTACTCAATTATAATACCTGTAATCTTAGGCACTTATAGGGCCTAACCATGTTGCAAGAGCCGTAAAACACTTACTAAAACTAAACTAAAAACTCACCTTCTCGCTCTCGGTGTCCAGGGCAGAGGTGGCCTCGTCCAAGAGAAGTATCTTGGGATTCCTGACCAGAGCTCGGGCAATGGCAATTCTTTGCTTCTGCCCTCCACTCAGCTGGGTACCTTTGTCGCCAACATTTGTCTGGTAACCCTGAATGTTAAAAAGTGAAATTTAAAGTTAACGAAAATAAGCCAAGAATTACAATATACGGTAACATAACATTAAGGAAATCCACTTGAAAAAGAGAAAATATTTTACTGGTGACTGATCTTTGTCACCCCAGTCTACCAGTACCTAAGTGTGACAGTGTAATTTTCGTCATGACGAGTCTCGCTCAACAAGCATAATACAGGAAGATCTAAAAAAAAAAAAATTTTAAATTTAACCTCTACCTAATTCTAGATTTACATATCGGGATTCGCACCAAATGTGTGAAAAGCATCCCCACCCCCACATACACTAAAAAATGAGCAAGTTCGACTATGTTCGTCGATACAATATTTTCCCAAAGCAGGAATCGAAGTCTTTTGTGTGTGATTGCGAAGACGTAGCCTTTACACTTTACACCACAGACGCTGGTACTAAATAACATACAGAAAAATAGAAAGACAAGCTATAATGCCAAGATGCTACCCAAGATAGCGAAAAGTAAAAAGTGTTTGTCGATAGCTTTTACTTGTACCTGGTCCAGGACGAGACCGAGAAAGGCGATGATATACCGGTAATTAAATGTGTGTCATCGAATTGAAATAAGGCGTTCGTCAAATTAATTAAATCAAAGAACCGACATTTTCCCACCTGATGGGCAATTTATATTGGATTTTTTTTCGGGGGGGGGGGGACTCAACAACTTATATCTCCATGTAGAAACACATTACTGCGAGGATTTTTAACTGAAAAACGTTGATCTAAGTCACAAAAAATGCAAATTTGCTGTTTCCAAGGACACTACAATTTTAGAAGTCACCAAACGTTGATGGCCGTTTTCTCGTTAATGTTGCCTCTGACACAAGGCAAACCCCACTCCTTCAACTTCAATGATGTCAATCGAGAATATCTGGGCCTCAACATGTATTCAAGATAGTGAATATTGTTTCACCGAAATTCTATGGCTCTTGAGATTATTCAATCGTGCAGGGATTACTCAAACATGTCGAAGATTGACAAATGTGTTCTATACATTCATAATTTCGGCTAACCAATATAAGGAAAGATTAAAGAAATATCAGTCAGGGAATCTCAAATTGTACGATTGCAATCAGCGATTTCGAGTTTTCCGTGTTTGTGTGCTCTGTGCCTTACACTGTACTACATGTATAGAGCCTACCAAACACTCCTAAGCGCCCCCCAAAAATGGACGACGAGCGCCATTTTCCACCGCGTCGTTACACAAACTGTTTCTTACCTGGGGCAGACTTGACACAAAAGTGTGGATGTTGGCCTGTCTGGCCGCCTGTATGATCTCGTCCATGCTCACGTCTCGTGAGTTGTCTCCGTAGGCGATGTTCTCGGCGATGGAGCTGTCAAAGAGCGTGGGCTCCTGAGACACGATGCCTAACTGCTTTCTGTACCACTGCAGGTTGATTTTGCGAATGTCCACGCCATCCACGAGCTGAGGTAAAGTAAAGTTTTTCGACTAAAGTTTTCCGGCGCTATAAACACACAATTAGGTCATTTAACCCTTTTCTAACGTTGTGTTTTACTATCGTATCCATACGGCATGGGGAACTCTGTGCCACCACTTTCCAAAGAGGAAATTCACTCGTTAATCTGATCCGTATGCTTACATAGTACATGCAGTCTGTCAAAATGATTTTTTGAGAAATACTGAAAGTTTCAAAGAGATCTTCGTGCTAGAAGTATTCTAAAATGTGAAGAATGCAACCCTGGGGGGTACAAAATGACCCCAGGGCGTACAGGTGGGGTTAAATGCTGAAGTTAAGATGTGTTAATACTACAGGGTAACATACAACGAAAACAAGAAGGAGAGATAAGGACGATAGAGATGTTTTGATAGGAAATATGGAGCAAATCACACCAGAACACCTGCAAACCAACCACCGAGTTGAAGGGGGAGTTTTTTTTTTGTTTTGCTTTATTCTTTTTGTTTCTACGTTTGGGTGTTCTGTTTGTTGTTTGTTTTGTTGCTGTTGTTTTGTTGGGGGATTTAGATTTACACAGGACTGACTTGCTCTCGATGGGGAAATAGATGACAAAAGAGTTTTTAAATTATTAATTTTTTTATTTACATTGTTTGAATTGCTTTACTTTTACAATGATACTCGTGGTCCCCTTCTGGGATAACGTTAACAGATGTGTGAGTCGAAGAGACAAGTTACTTTAACCCTATCCGTACGTCGTGTTTTACTATCGTATCCATACGACGTGGGGAACTCTGTGCTATCACTTTCCAAAGAAGAAATTTACACTTGGCAAAGCAGTCTGTCAAAATGATTTTTTGAGAAATATTGAAAGTTTCAAAGAGATCTTTGTGCTAGAAGTATACTAAAACGTGAAAAATACAACCCCGGGGGTACAAAATGACCCCAGGGCGAACGTATTGGCTTACGTTGTTTTAAAAGTGTCTAAACAGAAAAACCAATGGCAAACCATGATCGTCTATGCCTATTTCCTACCACAAATGCATGACCGTATGCAGTTGCGAGCACCGTAAAACACTTAGCATAAAACACAAACAAATATACTCACACACGCACACACGTACACACACACACACACACACACACACACACACACACACACACACACACACACACATACACACACGCACAAACACACTCGCACGTTCTTACCAAGCAACCACTGTCGACATCATAGAAGCTTTCAATAAATAAGCTGTGTGGTGGTGTTTTTCCTGCAACCACTAGAGCCCTCCAAAGCAACCGTTTCCCAGGAGTTGATTACAATCATCATCATCATCATCATAAAAATAATAATAATAATAATAATAATAATAATAATAATAATAATAATAATAATAATAATAATAATAATAATAAAATAATGATGAGAAGGAGGAGAAGAAGAAGAAGAAGAAGAAGAAGAAGAAGAAGAAGAAGAAGAAGAAGAAGAAGAAGAAGAAGAAGAAGAAGAAGAAGAAGAAGAAGAAGAAGAAGAAGAAGAAGAAGAAGAAGAAGAACAACAACAACAACAACAACAACAACAACAACAACAACAACAACAACAATGGATTTACCTGAACACTTCATAACACATTCAGAAATAACAATTCTTACCAAGCAACCACTGTCGACATCATAGAAGCGCTCAATAAGCTGTGTGGTGGTGCTCTTGCCGCAACCACTAGAGCCCACCAAAGCTACCGTCTCGCCGGGGTTGATTGTCAAGTCCATTCCATTCAGGACCGGTATGTTGGGACGCGTGGAGTAGTGGTAAACAGCCTTGTCCAAGCAAACACGACCCCGAAACAGGTCCTGTTGATCGGAGTAAAGTAGGAGCAGAGACATTATATGGTCGCTTTTAAAGCACAAGGGGGCTATCCCGAAAAAATGCTGTTTTAAGGAAATCGACGGTAAAGTTGTTGCCCCTTGTACAGTTTCTGTTTTTTTTTTAAAACAACAAGGAGAGCTTTCTCTATAAACAAACAAATATACACATTAATGAAACCAAACGTCTCCTACAGGTAGGGCAATGCCCACTTTTGGTGTAGGTCAAGATTTCTGGAAACCCCCGAAATCTGGGTTAACCCGCTTGTCCTTAAAAGCAACCATATTACTTGTCAAAAGTATAATCGAATCTGATCGGGTTGGATTAGTTACACAATACCAAATGGACCTCATATTATACATTTACATAAAATACATACAAATACAAATAGCTACATACATACATACATACATACATACATACATACATACATACATACATACATACATATACCAGCTGCGTGTGTTGGGGGTGGTCTACTTTAGCAAAAAAAAGTCTAGATTGGTGAAGAGAGTTAAGAGAGCAGATGTAGGTATGAAAAGGAATAGATCTATGTATTTGAATGGTCTCGGGGCACAATAATAAGATGTGTGGAGTGGGTGGTTGGCGGGTGCTTTGGTGTGGTTTGCTTCTTCTTTCCTATGAAACATCTATCGTCCTTATCTCCCCTTCTTCTGTTTTTTATGTTTGTTACTCTCTT